AGGCGGCCAGGGGTTCTCTGTGTGCTTGAGAAGAGCCCTTGCCCACCTCAGCAGAGCAGGATCTCCTAGGGAGGGCAGCAGGAAGGACTTCTAGAAGGTAGAGATAAAGGCTGGCAGCTCAGTGTGCCCGGGCACTTACCCCCTGAGCTCCAGCACTAAGACACTGGAAAGCCACTGGCCTCTCGGGACAGAAGAGTGTCCACTTCCAAATGAGCAGGGCTGGCAGGCAAGCCACTGGACATGGTTGTGGCCAAGCGCCCTCAAGCCGTCCGGCATGCAGCCCACATGGGCACCGCACCGAGGGTAGCACCACTCAGCTGTTCATGGGACTACAGGTGTATACAGATAGGAAACAGCTCTGTGGGCAGGCCACGGCATGCCATGGTCACTCATCTCCGAGGATGCTGAGAGGGTGGGATGTGCCTGGTGATTCGGCGACGATCATTAGTCCGTCACTGGTCACTTCCCTTCCTCCTGGAAGGGTGGTTAGGGCAGAGGCTATAAAATTCAGACATTTGGTGGTATAGTTAAACAGGAAGCCAAAACGAGGGTCCCTGATCCCCAAGTGCTCTGGATTGAAGCACTCAGACAGGGCCTGGACACCCCAGGAGGAGCTACGGGTCCCACAATGTGCTGGGAAGGACACGGTCCACCCCGTCTGCAGCTCAGGCTTCTAACTAGTCACACAGCTCTCATTAGCATGCCTGATCAGTCATTGACTGCTGATACTTCAAATGCTACATTGATTGGGTACCTAGTATGTGCAACAGTGGTGAGGGAAGGACACAGTTTCTAGTGTTAAAAAGCTAGTGATAACAGATTATCAACATTCCGAAAGATGAGAAGGGAACCCATGGATGTAACACAGGGACATGATCCATGCAGCACAGTTCTCAGTTATAACTGCAGAATGACTCAACAGAATAAACTTTCAGGATCCACTGATGACTCCAGGCACGCACTGAGCCCAGCATGGTTAAATGCACCACGGACACGGCCCCTACCTCCCTGAATTCAGAAACCTGAGAAGAACAGATGCCATCCAATGTGCACCAGCCTGACGCCATGGCAGCCGTGAGCCCTGGTGTCCCTGAGAGGTGGGAGAGGGGGGTCCAGGTGGGGAACAAGGGCCAGAAGGAGAGCCGTAAGAGTGCTGGGTTGTCTGTCTTGTCCATACCCCAGCAGACCAGGCCTCTCTCTGCCACTCCCAGCACAGTATGCTCCTGTAAATGACACACAGATGACGACACAGCACCATGCACTGGTGAGATGGGCTGGGTTATAAACCGACACTTAACCTTGACACTCAGGAACTAGAAATCTGATAGCTGCTTGTCCCCCACAAAGAGCAGGGAGCATGACATGCAAACCCTGGGCTGGTGTAGCCCAGACACGGGTGCATCACCTGTCACTGGGCAGGAAGACCAGGAGGTCACAGGCCTTCCCAAGATACGACAAGGTCACGAGCCTGGCTCTCCCACCTGCCTGTTTGGCTGCAGCACAAGCTTCAGGACCAGTCCCAGCATCACGAGGCAGGCACAGGCTTGCCACCTTTGACTGCGTTCAGAGCCTAAGTCACATGAACAACAGGCCGTGCCTCAGCTAAGGCACAGGCTCTCATCAGACAGACGGGGAGCCCCTTGGCAAAAAACCCAGGACAGCCAGATCATCTCTCACTGCAGACCTGTGCCAAAAGGCAAGTGGTGAATACAGGCGAAGGGGGCAACACTGTGCGCACCTCTGGACACATTCTAGAATCAGTTGGCTTCTAAGGCCTCCACTGGCAGCAGTCAAAGCAACAAAGTTGCAATGCTGCCTACCAGGAGCTCTCCTTTCTGTGCCCAGCAGGGGTCAGCCTGTGGGAGGAGCAAGATGACATTTGACCAAAGCAGAGCAGAGCAGGGTGGCTGAACCTAAAGCCAAGGCAAGCCCTGTTCCCATGCATTCCTTCTGAAAAGCCGGTAGGTCAACAGCCACGGGGCAGGCAGCCTCTGTGCCAGGCACTAGTTGTGGCACCTGCATCGACAAAGATGGAGGTAAATCCACGGCACCCTAAGAGCTTTCATAGTGCAGAGAGGGAAACAAGATGGTTGCTGGGCCCTGCCAAGAAGGGAGGCGCGGTTGTGGCCCTGTGGATGGTGGGGCCAGGGTGGACGCTTCAGGTGGGGGACAAGTAACCAGCTAAGGAAGGTGGTAAGGAACAAGTCTGTCACCACTGGTGGCACCCGGGACATGCCCCACTGTCTGCAGACACAAGGCTGTCACTCAGATGGCAGTATACCTGTCCCATGCATGGTGACAACTCACTGTTGGTTTGTGGGACAAGAGGCTACTGAGCACGGACCCCATCCCTGAAGATCCACCAGCAGCTCTGGTCCAACTCCTTCTGCTCACATGTAAAGTAAGTGTTACTCTCTTCAACCCATGCAGCCATCATAACCAAAGGGACCCTCGCTGTGTGTCAGCCAGAGCTGGCCAGGCTGTCACCTCTCACGACATTCCATCCTCTGCAGCCAGCTGCCTGCGTCACACGCATCCCAGAGACTTGGTGAATATGACCCTGCTACTTCCCAAAGAGAAAATGCCCCAAGAGACAGTGCAGAATGGCTTACATGATCCCTGCATCAGCCCCTGAGCAGGTGCACCGTGAGTCACAGTGGCCAACGGGGGAGGGCCTGGGGTGTGGCTCCTGGCTGCCTCAGTGGCCTGAAGGAGGTCACACTGGGTCACACCTCCCTCTACTAGAAAGCCCACACTGGGTCACAGCTGCTCACTGCAGCGGATGGAAGAGTCACCCCGATAGATAAAGTCGAGTCATTTAGTTAACAAGGACTCAGATTAGATTACTCTGTGATTACATGCTTCTGCGGTGTGATAAATTGGTTAATAACAGGATTCCCAATGTAGCTGCTTAATGGGAATTCAATAATTACAGGTACCCAGAATTGAAGTGGTAGCCTAGGAAATGCACTGGCCCTCCCACATTCATAACTTGAAACCTAGGAAGCCAGACGTGAAGTGGAAGGCAGGATGGCCCCTGACACGCCACATCTATGGGCTTAGCAGAACATCAACTGCTTCCCTTGGTAGGCCTAAGATGAACTCGATAGCAGTGCCTTTCTAAGGTGGTGCTTGTTCCCATTACAGAATGAGTGAGCTAAAGAAAGCAAAAAGAACAAGGCACAACCATATTTGAACTGCCTGGTGCAGTTTGCAGAGTGTTTGCCTCGCTTTTGGGGCCGTGAGGGCAAGGGGCCCCAGCTGGATGGGCTGCAGTGATTGTCCTGGAACTATAGACGACAGACCCCGAGGGGACAAGGAGCCTCACAGCCACCCCCACACCGACAACCAAGGCTTAATATGCACATACTCAGGGCAGGACTTTCTGTCACTGTCCTGAGCAAGGACGGGACCTCCACAATCCCACGTGGATTAGAAGACGCACCATCCTGAGGTTTTATTTTTTGTGCTGTAATCTGAGCCAGGACTCAAAGAGGCCTTCCAGGGGGTAGAGAATCACTCCTGTCTGGGGCGAGGAGTAGTTAGCTGTAATCTTCTCTGACATTTCCCCCCTAATTTTTGGAGTAATATAATGGTCTGTGACAATAAGAAGAATGGAACAGCAGTTTTGAGACATAAATCGGTCCATTAGATGGATCTTGAACTTGCCTTTAGAACTCAAGATAAGACAGCTTTGCTGTTCTGTCTTTCTGAAATGTCAAAATTTGGCTAGGATTAATGGTTCTCTAAATCAATAGGATTTCATGTTTATAAATGGTTTGCGGTTCCACTGCTATAAAATGTTACGAGCTCACGCAGTCCAGTCACCGTGGAGCCTACACCAAGCTCTGCTGACATTTATCCAAGACTCCAGGCCCCAGAACCATTCTGGAGGCCCCAGGGCCGTCCCAGAGGCCTGGCCCTCGGTGCTGGGGAGGGCACGGCCGAGATGAGGGAGGCCCAGCTCCCCAGAGAACCAACACAGGAACCCAGCATCTTCTTCCTAATGCCCCCGGAACTGGCCAGGGGTCCTGTTCAAAGCCACAGGGAAAACGGGGAACTCGAGGCAGCTGACAGCATCCTTCAGAGGGACCTGAGAAATCACATGCAATGTGAAAACATCTTTAATGCCATGCTTCTCACCGTTATTCACCTGTGGCCAATGTCTTTCCAAGCAGCCCTGTGTTTAATGCTGTGACTTCCATGGCACAATCACAATTTTGTGTTGTTTCGCCTGCACGCTGTGTCTCCTTTCTGAAAACTGTCTTGGGTAGAGCAGAGCCTCATTCTAGGGTGCTGAGGTAAGCAATCGCAGGACATCGGGGCTCTTGGAAGCTTTCCGAGTAGCTAAGATTTTGTGAGGAAAAGCTTTGCAAGGCCCAAGGTCATTTCATTTCCCCAGTGGCTCCAGGCGGGATAACAGGTTCGTCCGCTCTAAGAGCCTGGGAGCTGGGCAGGCAGGTGCCTGGTACACTTGGCCCGGAAGACCCTTGCCTACTCCAGACCTCAGTGCCTAGTCCCATCATGGACAAGACACCAGGTGATCCCCCATCCCTGTGCACTCATGCGGTCAGGCTGCTGGCAGTGGTCCTCTCCCCTCGCCTCACTTTCTCCAAATGCAGGAGGAAAGCAGGAGATTGGAGGCAGCTGTCTCATCCACTTTCCCCGATTCCTCAAGCCAGTGGTCCACATTGGTATACATCCCTCTCAACTATGTAAACATCATCAAAAATAAGATTAATTTATTCATAAAGAAGCCAGGCGACTCTGGTTTCCCCATTAATGAGTATGTGATCTCCTTGCCTGCGAAGCAAGGCAGGGATGCTCCGAGGGAAATGAGCCCCTCTGTGGTGTCTCAGTGACACAGCGCACAGCGCGGTGCAGCTCCCAGAGCCTGGGAAGATCATGACCTTGGCCAGGTAGTGAACGGTGCCTGCCCTAGAGGGGTCGTTCTGTGCGGAAGGCCAAGCACTAAATCCTGTCCTCCTCTGTCGTTGTAGCGTGGAGCTGGACTTTAAGCAGCAGGAAGACAAGCTGCAGCCAGTGCTGAGGAAACTCCATCCCATTGAGGAAACTCAGGTCGCACCCTCGCCTTATTCTCAGGAGACTTCCTCCTCGACTCCCAAGCAAAAATCCAAACCTGAATCCAAAAAGCACGGTAGATGGAAACTCTGGTTCCTTTAGGACTCGTGTGGGTGCAGGCCCCGGGCGGCGCAGAACCCGCTGCAGCGGGCAGTCCTTTCCGGAGACCCGCTGGATGGAGCACGCCGGGGTGCCGACTCGGCGCAATCCGCTTCTCGCCCTGCGTACCAAAAAAGCCTTTGTACCCACAGATCACCCGCAGCGGTGAGGTGTGCTGCGACCCACCTCGCCGGCTGCTGGCCACTGCTCACTCGTGTGGGACACCAAGTCAGAAACGGAACTGACACAGTCCGATGTGACCAAGAAGACTTCTCTTTCCCTGTCCCCCGACCTGCAAGCACCACTTCATCAACCTGTGCTACGCAGGTGTTACTCTACACACAGCTGAAACCCATAGTTATTTTCAAGCCTTTATTATTTATTTTTAAAAAGAAAATAACAAGAAAACGCAAGCCTTATGTTTGCAAAGGACCTCATTTTTACGTTTCATTTTGCAAATAAGCAGGGGACGAGTGCAATTTGCAGCACATCAAATTCCGGAGAAAGCACAATTTTTTCCAATGGTCGGAGACCATGAATAATCTCTCAAACGTGTCTGTATATCTGCCTTCACGTGCTGTAACGCTAAGCCAAGCGGTCACCGCTCCGTGTCACACCCTGCCAGCCCCCTCTTCATCTGGAGCCCTCCCACGTGTCTACTGCTCATTGTCCGAATGGCCAGCAGCTGGGGTCCCAAAGTCAGGATCTGCCTTTTATCACTGCAAGTCGACAGGGTCTGAGCTATGGGACACAAAGCTTTCTCATATTTCATTTTTTAATCCTTTGGTACCCCAAAGGCTAATGATAAATCCTGGCAAGAATTGAGAGACACACGGAGATCCACACTGGATGACAATGAGATCACCACCATGGTCCCAGGTGCCTGCAGGTGCAGGAGAGTGTCCCGGTGGCAGCATCCTCGGAGACCTTGGTGGCCCTGTGAGTGTGGCCACACATCCCAGAGTCTGTTACGTGTCGTGACATCCGTACAAGGCCCAGCCATCTCAAAGAGAAACAGCCTGTCTCATTTAGCTGCTAACCAATGGACAAACTTAATGTCACTCACATTTAACCTACTAGTAAGTTGTACTACAGGACAAACGTAGAGGAAAGCTGTGACTCAGATGTTTCTAGATCTTTTTTAAATCAACAGTATAACGCTTAAGAGTTCTCTCTTGATTACGTGTATACACACACATCACAATGGAAATCTTAGTTCCTTTATTTTTTCACTCATTTCTTTGCATCTTTGCAAGTATCTTTTTATATAAATCAAAATCCCTTAGTCTAGTAATGACTTTGTCAGTGTTTTTGCTTTTTCACAGAAGGATGTAGGGATCTTATGTTGCCCCCTTTTTTTTTTTTTGGTACAACTTAAATTTTGAAGTCTGGAAACATGAGAAAATCTTGTCTCCAAGTTTCTGTGCGGCAGGTTCCTGTGTAACTGAGCGCGGACAAACACACGCCATGCATTAATGCCAACACCAGTAACCTTGGTGAGAGGAACTCGACCTGCCGTCTGCAGATGGCAGCTAATTCCTACCAGGCGTTTTCTTCCTAACAACAGCAAATCTATTTTCGTTCTAAGCGTGTGGGCTTTACAAGGCCCAGTGATCAGTAATTAGATGAAGACGCGAACAAAGTGAAACCTACTGAGCAAAGACTCCTTGGGGACTGCTCCAACAATACTACAGATATATGTTTTCTTTTGAAATTCTCTTTCTCTCTCTCTCTCTCTCTCTCTCTCTCTCTGTCTCTCTCTCTCACACACACACACGCACACACACACATCTTTTGCAGAAACAATATAAAGGTTAGGTCCCCATGTCCCAGAGTTGAGGCATGTCAGAAGAATGACAGTGGTTCTGTGCAGAAGGAAGCAACAATTTCATGTAGACTAAAAACCTAAAAACGCATCTCATGTTTTCTTACAGTTTTTTACTGAAGCTACAAAAAAAAAATATGTTTGTCACAGTTATCTCTCCTTATGTTTTAGAAAAATAGCAATGATCTTGGCGAACAGACATGAGTGTATTCGCAGCTTTCTAATTAGTTCTACAAATCTGTCTAAATAAGAGGACTTCCTAGTACACAAAATCATGTCACAGTTCCAGACCCATCTAGGATGAAACTAAATTACCATTTTCAGTGTTAAAAAAAAAATCCTTGAAGATAAACCAAACCGTCCTTAAAAACAGAAAAATCTCTTCAAAATCGAAAAGAAATATTTTTGAAATCATGTCACAGTTTAATTGCAATGTGTCATTAATAATAATAGATGGCGATCCTTCTCCTGGAAGGATTTAAGTAAAACTCTGATAACCCAAGACAAAACGTAGTGTTCCCTTTATGTAGATGTGCTCATGGCATTACGTATAGAGATTAAATTATTATACTTGTCATTAAGTTCTTTAACAATTTTTAAATAAAACATCAAAGATAATATTTTGTGTCGCTACTGCACTTCTTTTATGGCCTCATAGTTTGGGAAAGTAAAAAGAATTCAAGAAAATGATGATGCAGGAAGAATGGTCTGGAAGGAGTATCATCCCATTGTGAGAAGCGATGACCACTAACTGGCCCAGGCCTGCCCACTGGGCAGCCTGGCCTAGGGGCCGGGAGAGGGGCAGCACCGAAACGCTGTCCACCCAGGAACTGGGCCTGGTCTTCAGCTGTCAGGCAGAAGGCGCCCTGGGCATCACGTGGGCTCACTCACCTCCGCCCCACGACTGCCGTGGCCAATCATCTGACAAGGGGCAACTGGTCCCTAGTTCACCTCCACCCCAGGGGATGGGCCGCCTCCTCCCTCTCTTCTCCTGCTCCTGAGCAGACCAGGCCTGGCGCACTGCCCAGTGACCACAGGTGATCCAGGGGACACCTCTCCTGGACAGTCTGGAGGAGGTCACCTCCCCCTCCCGGTATCTATAACAAGATAGTTCACTCACATGGAAGTGGCCACGAGGACCCCATGTGGACATGAGGACCCCTGCTACCAGGTCACATTCATGATGCAGAGGCAGAAGGGAGGGCCTGCCTCATCACCCTAGAGGCATGCAGCTCACCTCCAAGGAGTAGGGGGCCCAGGGCCTCAGGATCTGCTCCTGGCTCCTCAGACCCCACCCAGAGACCCCAACTCGGGCAAATCTGGGGGGGGGGAAATCAAGATGTGGGTGAGCCTCCGAGCGCAGGCAGGAGACGAGCACTAACCCTAACCCTAACCCTAACCCTACGGCCCCAAGCCTCCTCCAAGGCTGCTGAGTGTCTCTGTATTGGAGCTGTGAGCATGGCATCATTGTCAGTGCACAGCATCAGGCTGCCAGACCCCAACGCACAAATTATGACAAGGAGGGTGCCTTGCAGCACTGGCTTCCTTGATCGGCCACCCAGGATCCTCACAACCAAGATAACACGGCTATTCCTTGGAGCCGAGAAGACACAGCTCCAAGGTCAAATGCTTTGAGCAAGAACAAGAACTCAGCCATCAACGTTTCCCTCCTTTGCCACATAGCAGGTCAGAGTGACAAACCCGAATCCTTGACTGCATGTGTATCAGCAAGTACAGCTGGACCTGGTTAGTAATCAAGCCAGGTTCGCTGGCACAGCATTCCCCAAAGCCCACACTGGCCCCACTGACACCTGGAAAAGCCATCACTCCCACTGGCAGCAGAGGTGAAGCGTGCCGTCCATTCAGAGAGCCCAGGTAGACAGCTGGATGATGCCAAGATGAGCAACAACACTGATGGGTGAATTAGCATATCCTAATCATGTGGTACTCTGCAGTGTGCCCTCCGCCAGATGACAAGGTCACGGGAAAGCGGCCGATTACCTTTTAAGTAGCTCAGTAATTAACTTCTGACATCTTTACAGCTTGGTATGAACATGCAAGAATTACAGAGTGGAGATATTCCGAGCAATGACATGACTTTTATTTCCCTGATAATCAATCCAAGGTTAGTGCCTGGTGTTGAAAATCACATTAGGGCCACCGGAACACAGCAGGCAGTGAAAACTACTGCTTCGTCACCAAACAGAAATGAATGGTGGACGTTACCTCCGGCTATGTTCACAGGGTGTCAAAAGGATCTTCTTAGCTAACAATAAAGAGGAATTTTAGGATTTTTATACATAAAGACCATATACTCTCTATAAGAATCACAATGCACTTTTTTTCTCTGCTACGATGGACATGTGAAGGCTGCAGTGTCGAGAGGCAGAACCACACTTCAGCACCTTTAGTGTACAGAGCTCAGCGGGAATCCTGAAGGTAGACAATCCAGAGTCTTGGTGAAAAGGTGCTTTTCATTGAGAAACCAGTCCTTACACACCATGTTCCAGTTGCAAAAGCATGTCAGGCTCAGCATAAGCACAGGGGTGTCGTCAAAGCACACACCCCACCACCAACACGGCTATGACAAGGAGATGCCCCCATCCCACCTGTGACCCAAGCTGGAGCTCAGAGCAGAGACCACACCACTCCCAGTACATCCTCAGCGAGCCAGGATGCTCCATCGACACAGGAGTTACGGGCTGGTGCACAGAGCAGACCACACCACTCCCAGTACATCCTCAGCGAGCCAGGATGCTCCATGGACACATAGGGCAGTCTCCACCCAGACTCATGGCTAAGCTTCTGAGAACTTTGCAAAGGCACCTTCTCCTGGGAGAAGCCCACATTCGCATTTCAGTGAATCAGTAGTTTCCCATCTTCTAGTGTGCATCCAGGCCACAGAAAAATCTGTACTAATCTTTCTCCCTCAATCACAGTATTCAGAAACCCATTAACAGAAGCAAATCTGACCATCTGAATGAAGGAATGCCAGCTAACACAGGCAAAGCAGGAGCACGCGTGAGAATGCATCATGTCATTGGCTCCCATCCCAGGTTGGGTTCAAGTATTCGCTTCAGCAGAGTCAAGTGCTTCTATGCAGATCCCCAGTCACTAGCCTGATGGTTGGTCAGCCACCTACACACCAGAGACCCGGCCAACTAATCAAGCCGTGGAC